AGTTTAATTCTGCGGAACCACAAGGCCCTATCAGTGTCCCATGAAAGCCTAGAGGCCAGGACCTCACCAGGCTTTAGCTGGGCCCACCTCAACCATTGTCCCTGCTATGGCAACTGGCTTTGACTTTGCTCCCTGGGAAGAGGATGTGCCTGGCCCTGCCAGGTGCCCAGGGGCCTGGCTGTTTTCTAAGACTCAGTTGGGCTCATCAGGGCTGGATCCCAGGCTGCGGGCACCCAGCTCCCGTCCCCATCCTCAGTTGAGGTCAGGTCCAGACACAAAAGGAGGAAAGCCCCTTGCTGCTGCTGAGAAGTCCCCACCAGCCCCCTCACATGGTGCTGGGAAGGCTCTGGGGACCTCGGCTTGGGTTTCAGGATTAGGGTAACCCAAGCACTGTAAACTGCGTCAGGGCTGGGATTAGGCGGGCTCAGGCCTAAGATGCTTTGCTGGGCCCCGCAGATGGCCTCACCGCTGCCCTCCCAGCACAGGTGCTTGGCTAGGGACCAGGATCTGCAGGACCAGAAACAGGAGAACTTTTGGGGATCTAGGTTGTGCCACAAGAGCCTGCACAGGGAGACAGGACAGTGGCCAGCCAGAGCACGCCAAGGCGTTCGGATGGGTCTGTAGGAAAGTACAAAGGCCTGAAGGCCGGGGACCTGGCTGTCCCCATGTCCGAGCTCACAGAGATCAAGAAATAACATCTATAAAATGGGCTCAAAGCCCTACCTCTCCTTCCTCCTGTGGTTTCCCAAAAGACCCAGGGTATCAACAATAGTGAGCTCTGTGGAACTGGCCACAGGGTGCTGGGCCCCAGCACTGAGCATAGACAGGCATAGGTGCCCTGAATCTTCAGCGCCTGGTCAGGGCAGGGAGGCTCAGCCTGCTGTTGCTGTTGGTCCCTGACAACCATGGTGCAGCTCGAGGCATGGCTGGCAGGAGCTCAGCGTGTCTGCTGTGTGTCCTCAGCCCTTGGCAAACTGTCACCCTGTCACAGTGGATTCTGGACACAGGGAATGATGATGCCAGCCATACCTGGTCGACTTGGAGGTCAGGGGCTACGCAGGTGAGGCCCAAGGAGCACCCAGGCAAGAAAGCTGAGGCCTCATCCCTCGCCCTCTGCCCCACTCCCAGGCCCCACTTCTGTGACATCTCTCCCACTTTCCTGCTTGTCTGCCCCTTAGCAGTTCTTGCCTGTTGAAGCACCTTCTGTCCAGTTATGCTGAACATTCCAGGTTGTGGCTGGACAGGCCCTTGCCCACCTGCTGCCAGTTGGGCAGCTCCTTCCTTCACCACCAGCTGGCTTCCCCATGGCCAGGCCCCATAGGAGTTAGGACACCAGCATAAGCTGGCCACAGAGAAGAGCTGGGGTTACACGGCACTGGGGGAGCCTCTGACCTGCCTGGGTATGCAGAGGGGCATGGGGGTGTGCACAACCTGTGCCCAGCAGCCCCTCCCACTGCCTCCTGCTCCAGGGTGGTGGCCAGGATGCCTACATGTACCTCTGTTTATTTACTTACGGTGCTGCCTGGCATAGGAAGGGCCTGTCCAGTTCTGTCCTTCCACTGGCACCAGTACTAAAGGGGAAACTTGACAGGGATGGCCAGGGAGGGAGGCAGAAACAGGCCAGCCAGAAACAGCAGAGGCCCCTTTCTTAGCCTAGGGTCCTCTGAAAGGGGTCTTCTGTGCTGGTGGTCCCACCAGGCCAGGCTTGGGCTGTTGCCCAGGGGTCTGCATAACCCCAGGGAGCAGGGTCTGGACACCCTTCTCAGCAGTCAGCTGGCCCCCCATGCCAGGCCAGGCAGGAGGGAGGCAAAGGGAGTCCCTGCTGGCATGGGGGGCAGTCCTGGGTTGTGGACACCTGGTCTGTGGACACCACCCTGCCCTCCCACTCCAGCGTCCACCCCAATTTGGTTGGACTGAGGCACCATGTCGTAGAAAGGCTGCAGACTGATTTGTGTCCAGAGTAGTCTTTCTCTGAAGCCAGGATGGCCCTGCAGGAACGCGGCCTGGCTCAGGTCCACCTGGATGGAGATGAGCTCAGACAGAGACGATCCCTACAAGGCTGGGGCTGCAGAGGGACGAGCCCCTTCTGGTGGGCCCCAAGCTCAGGCCTTGACACCTGCTGTGAATGCAGCACCTGCCATGGCTACCTGGTGCTATTTGCTGCCTATGCGTGGTCCCCATGTTTGGCAGTGACTAGTCTATGGCAGCCCCCTCATGCACCCTGAGCAGGGTGGGTGCTGGCAAGGAAGGAGGGAAGTGGTGGAGCCAGGGCAGAGGCAGCTAGCAGCACTGGCCTGGCTGGAGAGGAGTGGCCATTGCTCAGGGAAGGGGCTCCCATGGACCCAAGGGAGGGACCTAGGGCTTGGTTGGCTCAGGTTCAGAGAGGCAGGAGAGGCCCTACCCGCCAGCCCAGCACAGACACCCATAGGAGCCAGATGCCAAGCTGTGCCGAGACATGAGCATGGTGTAGTGGAATAGGGTGTGGCAGGACCAGAGTGGCCCAGGGCGCCCTGAGACAGCACAGCTCCAGACTGCACGCTACATGGCTACTTCAAGGCATCCCTCGTGCAGGGTCCTGGTTAGTATGTAGCTCAGTGCCTGGGGGTGGGGGCCTCAGGCATGCCCATAGGCCTGCTTTAGTCTGGGGAGAGGGCCAGAGCCTGAGGGAGCCTGAGGGTGGAGCCAGGACCCTCTGTACAGCACCTGCCACCTGTCTGCTTCTCATGGGGCAAATCCACCTGTGATGGCAAGGCTGGGCATAGGTCGCATCACGGCCAGGAGGGCCTGCCCAGTGCAGCTGGCCCAGCCGGGCATTCTGGTAGAGCTGCATGGAGTCTGAGCATCTCAGCTACCCTTTCCCCCAGCCCTGGGAACTGGTGCCCCTGCAGCCCTCCCACACCTGTCCCACACCCTCCCCAGAGCCCTGCAGGCTCTGCCTTCCTGCCTCGACCTTGATAACTCCCCATCACCTTCCTCTGTGCACCGACCATCTGCCATGACGTCGTGTGGACAGCTGGGGAGGGTCAGAGTGCAGACCCTGCCCCACTTCAGAGTGGGGGGTTGGGGGAGGTGAGACAGGGAGTGTGCTGTGTGGCCACAGCAGCAGCACCATCCCCCCCTCTCCCTCTGCAGCCTTGCGCAACCCAGAGCCAGAGGCAGACGTGTGTGTAGGATGTCGCAGGGGGTAATTACAGGTTACACAGAACAATCTGAGGAATTAAAATCATATTTTCATTGCACCATAAAAACATGTGAAGGCGGCCGGAAGGTGGCCTCAGGGCCAGGTGGAGAGCACCTGGCCTGTGGCTCTCTGGCCCCTCCCTGTACTCCTGGGAGGAGGGGACAGGGTGGGGGCGGAGCCCAGGAGGGGGCTGGGTAGTACCTAGCCAGCGCAGCCCACCAGTCCTGTCCCAAGTGCCAGGTGCAGGAGCCTGGGGGAGAGAATGGCTCAGGGGCGACGCTGGTCTGCACACGCTGCCCTGCAGAGGTTCCCAGTTCCCATCTTGGCCCTGCAGCAACCTAGGTGGGGCTCAGGGCCACTGTCCTCTCCCCCCCAGTAGTGGAGTCCCCTGGGCCTGGCCAACAGCCAGACAGGCACCTGCTGTTGTAGCACCCAGCCCCAGGGAGAAGTCCCAGGCTCTTCACGACAGACTTCCACCTGGAACATGGGCTACTTGTGAACTAGGCCAGACGCCTGCACACACCACTAATCAGGAGCCTGAGCTCCTGTGTGGTGGGAGGCAGCAGACCTGCAGCTGCCTGACACATGCGCTGTGGATGCTTCGGTCCCTCCTGGTTGGTGGCGCATGCTGCGTGAACTGGCGGACAGCGAGGAGAAAGCAGAGGCTGCAAACAGCAGGTGTGCAACCCCAGAGTATCCTGGGGAAAGGGGGCATGCAGAGAAAACGCCAGGAGGGGCCATGATGGGGGATGATACAGGGAGGGAGGAGGGCCTCACTCTGAGGGCAGCCAGGGAGGCCAGGGGCCCTCACTCTGAGGGCTCCACACAGCTGCCTCATTCCCCTCATCACAGAAGGTGAGGCCGCTCCCAGGGCTGAGGAACCCACAGGCCCCTGCCTGGCGGCCACCCTCAACCCCCACCCACCTACTGGGCAGTGGGGATTTGCTGACCGCCCCATCCACACCCTTGGCCTCCAAGCCCAGGCAAGCCCCCTCGCCCGGAGCCGGTGGGGAGTGCCACCAGCTGCGTGTTAAATGGGACACGGGTGATCTGGAGCTGCACTTGTCCAGGGCCGGCCCAGCACTTCATGTCTTAGCTAGCCGTCTGGGAGCTCCCGTGCACGCGCCATGCCACGGCTCAGCATGTTCAGGTGCAGAGGCATTCCTTTGTGCCCTGACAAGCAGGGTCCTATCCAGGGCTTCTGGCCGGCAGGCTGAGTGATATTTTCTTAAGGAAGACACGTGATTAGCTGCTGCTAAACCCCAGCACAATGCCGGGCCCTGCGCATGGCTGTCAGCTCTGTCTCCCTCAAGGTGACTGACAGACACTCCACTCCCTGGCCCATCGAGCCTCAATGCGCAGGATTAGCCTAAGTGCAGCCGACAAGCTGACTTGTAGGGCCGCAGTGGAAACACAGCGGGGTGACTGATGTTCAGGAACAGACAGCCTCAAACAGCCCTGCCAACTCCCGCTGTCAAGCCACACTGCTGGCAGGCTGCTGGGAACAAAGGCCATGGCTGCCTGCCCCTCCCATGCATCCACCCTCCTTGCATGGATGGGCACAGACCTCTGTGGTGACCTTGCCTGGGAGGGTTCCCAGGTGGAGGGCTTCGCGCCGGAGGCCAAGCAGCTACAGGGGTCCATGGGGCAGCCTCCTTCCTGCCTGAGATAGGGGCTCTTTCCCTCACCCCAGTGGCTGTGGGCAGCTTGGATGCTCACATGCTCCCCTTGCTGGCAGGTAGGCCGGCCAGACCCTCCACAGCCTGGGCAGTTTGGGGGCATCCTGTAACCCATTGGGGACACCACAGGAGAAGCATGCTTTAGAAAACACCCTCTTTATTTATACTCCAGAGATACCAGGGGAACTCGGACATGGGCAGCCCATTGGGTGGGTTTCTGTCCAGGGCGTCATTATCTGGCATCAGGAGCCTGGGGGTGCTGGCCCAGGTGGGGGGTGGTGGTGAGCGGTGTGGGTGTGGGGGCACGCAGCCCCTCAAACTGTCCCTGCAGGGCATACAGGCTGTCCATCCAGACACTTGGGCACCACGCTGACCATCTCACAGGCCTGGCCTCAGCAGTCCTGCCAAGGATGGCAGGGTTAGTATGGGGGGGGTCGCACCATCCCTCACATCCCCCCCGCAGCCACATACACTGACCCTTAAGGGTACCCTCCAGGTGATGCATCATGGGGAGTTTTGCAATGCTATAAAAATATTTTGAAATGATAAAAATGTGTAGCAGGCTCTTAACAACAGCTATGTTAGCTGCAATATTCTGATAAGTGTTTCCTCAGGATGCCCTCTGTTCATCTGTATCAATGGCAGCTCTGGCTCAGGAGGGCCACAGTGGGGCAAGATGTCCTGAGTGCCTAGGAGAGGCCACCCCTGGGCCCCTAGGTGCTGTGGGATTCTTGAGCCTGCCTGTGGGACTGCTGGGGGCACCACTGCTCTGCCTCATCTCCACCTCAGCCCTGAGGACTGGGGGCCCAAAGGACCTCAAGCCTCGAGGGGCTGACAGCTATGGGGCATCCCATCATGAGCTGTACTGCACAGCCCTGAGGGCCACCCTGCCCCGGGATCCACCCTGGTGGCCAGGGCTCAGAGGACACTGTCAGACTGAGCAAGGGAGAGGCTCTGGCCACATGTGTCCCTGGTGCAGGCCCCTGGGGGGACTTGCTAATTTCTTCCTTCTCAGGAGAGGAACAACCCACCCCAGAGGCTTCCGGCCACCCCCCCTTCCCCACCAGCCTAGCTTAGCAAGGCTGGAACTGAACCAGATGTTTAAGTGGAGGCTGGCTGTGCACAAGGCAGCATCTCCACCTTCTGGGCAACAAGGAAAGGAGCCGGCTAGTACTCTGCAGGAGCGAGGCAGCAAAGGGAGGCCCTGGGGAGCAGCAACTTGAGACTGGCTGAGCCCAGCCAGCCCGGGCACACCTTGCACCTGGGACAGGTCCCTGCAGGTGTAAGCCTGGCCTCTCGACATCCCCTAAATGTGGGAGCAGCAGTGGGGTGCAAGGGTGCTCTGTGGAGGCTGGGGATTTGGCAGGTCTCGCCGCCCAGCCTTGCCCCTTGGCCACGATGGCCTGGGCACTGTGCATGCACTGCATAGCAGGTACAGCCTGGCTGTGTACCTGAAGGGAGCCATCATCATGGCTCCTGCCATAAGCTCTATCATCAAGCATGGAGTCTGCCCCACTGCTCACCTGGACGCAGGGATGAGGAACCTGGTGGTGTGGAGCATGCTGTGTACCCTTGGTGAGGCAGGGATGGCGGCCTATCCTCAGCAGCCCGTCACTGTGGGGTCCAGGCCTGAGCGCTTGGAGATGCGCAGCCGGACTACCTCCTCGGAGCAGGTGGGGTGGATACCCACTGTGCGCATTACCTGTGCATAGGAGGCGCCGCACCTGCACGTGGGGATGGGGGTGGGAAGCAGGTGAGATGTGTCCCTGCCACCCTGCCATGTGGAGGAGGCCGTCTAAGGCACTGGTCTCCTCGCCATCCCTGACCTCTTCTCCAGGCGGCAGCCCAGACACCCCTGGTACCTGCTGGACCATCCACCTCCCTCCCAGCAGATGCCAAGTGCCTGCCCGCCCACAGCTGGAGGCACAGTGCCCCTCAAGGCCACCTCCTCCACCCCATCACATATACCATCAGCCAGAGCACACCTACCATTGCAGCCTGCACCCTCCTGGCCCCCACTGGCTCCTGCTCAGCCCTGCCCTTCTCTCGGTACCCAGCACTTCTCACTTATGGTGGCATGAGGTCTCAAGCACCCACTGCCGGAGGGTAGGGTCCAGCATCCTGTCCTCACTGAGCAGAATATACCATCTGGTCTGGCCTAACCCTGCCATTGGCCTGAGGATGAGCAGCTGCCCAGCCCCATGACTGCCACCAGTCTCTCTGGCCCACCTGGCAGCAGCAGCACAAAGCTCTGCTATAGGTTCCCTGGCGTCTGCACCTGCCCCTGCACTGCTGCGCATGCTCGGGGCGCACTGCTTACCTCCCTGGGAGCTCAGCACGTGTGCCCCACAGACTGCCAACCGCAGTAGCTTCTGCTGTCTGCCATTAGACCAGGTGGCCACATGTGGCTTTTCTTCTGTCTGTACACACATACTACACCAGTGCTAGGTGAACCCCTAACTTGCTCAGTGGTATGTGCATTTCAAATTTGACTGAAGGCCTTCTGTGGGCGGGGTCCAGGCCATGCCCTCCTCCCAGCCTTCCCTGAAGCATTGGCCTCACCACCAAGCTGCTCCAACCTTCAGTATCTCCCCAGGCAGACAATGACAAATAATCAATACTAGACAACACCCATACGGAAACTGCTAGTCCTCACCAACCACAATGATTCCTCAGTGTTTTAATTACACCTTACCATTCCAGATTTTAAATTTCCAAGAAACGGAAGCTTTCTAATATTTTTATTGCCTTTCCCCCTGTGAACTGGTGATACATATTGTATATTTTTCTAATGAGTTGTTCCCTCTATTGCTGTGACTATTGTTGTTGACTTCTAAGAGCTCTTTG